TTCCTTCCTTCCTTCCTTCCTTCCTTCCTTCCTTCCTTCTTTTTTCTTCCTCTTTTTTGGTACTAGGAATTGAACTCAGGGGCCCTCGACCACTGAGCCACATCCCCAGCCCCATTTTGCATTTTATTTAGAGACAGGGTCCCACTGAGTTGCTTGGCACCTCACTTTTACTGGAGCTGGCTTTGAGCTCATGATCCTCCTACCTCAGCCTCCTGAGCCACTGGAATTCCAGGTGTGGGCCACGGCGCCTGGCTCCACTGCGACTTTTCTTATACTGGACATGACTACAGACTCCACCCACAAAAAAATATATTTTGTTGGTCTAATTTCTAGACAGTTGCTAGGGTTATTGTATCTATATGCCACCAATCAATAAGATTTTATTTCTGACCTCTTAATAAACTTTGTCTTCTACAGGGCATTTAATTTGGAAAACTCCCGGATGCATAGCTGGTTTAGAAACATGCTTTCCTACAGCAAGTTGTGAAGGATCTGAAGCCACCTTGGATATAATTCCTGCCTCCAACCTCCAGGGTCCTCTGAATTCTCACATCTATCAAAACAGCAGATTTAATAGAACCATGTTAGCCCAGGGATTGGAAAGAACGTAGATTCACACCCTGAGTTACTTCAAGCTGGTCTTTCTATGTAACCTTGAAGTTTTCATTAGTGTTTAAAATTTAAAATGGTGTAAGTGCAAACTGCAAAGTGTGTGTGAATTTTAAGCCACAGATGAGCTGTTTTACTGTATTGGAACATTATCTTTAACATTGAGACGTGTGCCTTTAAAACTAGTATTGCTAAGTTGGAACGTGTTCTCTTTAATACTGGAGTGAATCAAGAAAATTAAATATTACAGAAAATGTAGTACTTGCCCAAGTTTTATTTATTTTTTTTTGCAAATATTTTGGCTTTTTTTTTACTGACATATAATTCATATTCCATAAAATTTACCATTTAAAATTGCACAATTCAGGAGTTTTTAGTGCAACTATTCCAATATTTAGTTCCAGAACATTTTTGCCATGTGAAGATAAATTTGACTGTGAACACGGCCCCCTAATAGAAATGAACTCATATACTATGTGATCCTCTGGGTCTGGCTTCTCTCACTTAGCAAAATGTCTTCAAGCTTCGTCCATGTTGTACCATGTCAGAATTTCCTTCTGTTTAATGCCTGAGTAATATTCCACTGTGTGTTTATACCACATTGTGTTTATGCATTCTCAGTTGATAGGCATGTGGATTGTTTCCACCTTGTGTCTACTGTGAATAATGCTGCCATTCATAAGATTTTGTATATACTGATATTTCCATTTTTCTTGGATATATGCGTCGAAGTGGAATTGCTGGTCATGTGGAAACTCTGACTTTAAATTTTTTGTAGTAGCACAAAATGTCCTTCAAGGAAGCTGCACTGTTTTAAATTCCCACCAACAATGGACAAGAGTTCCTAAACCAAGGTCAAGACAATTTATGCCTGTTTGCTTCTAAGAGGATTTAGTCTTAGCTTTTTGCATTTGATCATTTCATGTTACTCTTGTGAGGTATGAGGTAGGGGCTCAGAGTCATTCTTGTGTAAGTGCATATTCCTTTGTCCCAGGGCCATTTTTTGAAGACAATTCTCTCCACATTGGCTTGATACCAGGTTGAGAATCATTGCAGCATAGCTGTAGCTTTTTGAGATTTTATTTGTTTTCCCCTCAATTTCTTATTTATTTATTTTTTTAAATTGCGTGTGGCACACTTTGGCTCCTCCTCTGGTTTTGGTTTGTATTCCTCCCTCTCTTTCCCTTCCCCAGGAGTTGGCTGGGCTGTTGGCTGGTGCCTTGGTTCTTTTGCACATGCCTGCTCCAGCAGGCTGGCTCGGGCTTTCTCTTAGAGGTCTGGGTTCCAAAGGAGTGAGTACCAGCGGTGCCACATTCTATCAGCCCACAGAGTCACAAGGCTTGGAGAGTAGAGGGTGGACAAAGAGATTGTGCGTCTTGATGGAAGAAGATGCAAAGAATGTGCAAAGAATCTCTGACCATTTTAAATTCATCACAAGCTTTAAAGACACCAAGGTGTAATTATCAAGGATGAGGAAATTCCCCTGAAGAGTCATACAACAGTGTATGAAGATAAAGTATTTTTTTTTTTTTGGTGCCACTTGGATTGAATCTAGGGTCACCTGCCTACCAGGCAACCTCTATCTCTGAATTACATTCCCAGCCCAGAAGGAGACATTTAATAGAGACCTGAATAGAATGAGAGAATAAGGCATGGATAGAATATTTAAAGCAGGTGGGAGAGCAAAGGTCCTAAGGCAGGAAAGTGTTTGGTATATTTGAGGAGTAGCACAAAGATCGGTTTATGGGAGTAAGGTGGGGCTGTTGTGAACATCAGTGAGGTAAAATATGTCAAAGTGTTTTATTATTATGGGATTTTATTATGGGATTTTTTTTTTTACTGTATATAATATAGTATGGAATAATAGGTGGACTGTTTCTCACTACTTCAATTTTCTCAAGATGTTTCCAGAGGATGGGAGGAAACAGAAAACAAGATGCATTCAATAATAACACCCAGCGAGGTCAGGGGCCTCTGTAAAGTCACATTCCCCCGAGGGCCTCAATTCTACTGATGTCTGCTACTCAAAGCTGGTGCCGCCTCAGCACCTTGGCCAGTCCTTCCAGGGACCCAGCACCTGCCCCAGCCTCAGCCTGGTGGTCCTCCCTGTGCGCTGCAGCCGGCTGGCTGCCCAGTGTGCAGGGCCCAGGACCCAGCTTCTGCTAAGGCTCATAGTGATGCCAATGCAACCGGAGAGGTGCAGAGCTTGCCCACGGGCTGCTTCAGGCCCTGGGACCTGTCCTAGGCTCCTGGGAACACTGTCCTGCTCCCAGCCAAGGTGCTTCCAGAGCCAGGGGAAGCTCAGGTACTAGCTTGGTCACTCACTGTTGCTCTGTGACTCTCAGTAGGTTACAATTTGGATCTTGAATGTCCCCCAAAGGCTCATGTGTTGAAGCCTTGGTCCCCATCCTGTGGTGCTACTGGAGGTAGTGGGACCTAATGGAGGGGGCTCTTGGGACCCTGGCATCTTCTTCTATTTGGCCACTATGTTGTGAACAGATCTCTACTTCTTCTTCTTCTTTCTTTTTTTACTGATGACGAATCAATTTTCTTAATTTAGGGAGAAAGGGAATGTTTCCAATCCATACCAAAAACCAAACCAAAACAAAACTCCTAAGTATGTGAATACATTTTAACTCAGCTTTCAATTCTAGATTTTTAAGAATATTACCAACATGTGTGTGAAGAAATGCTTACCGGTTTTCTGGGCCCACTCGTTCCTCCTAAAATCACTCTCTACAGGCACCTGCGGTCTCCCACTTTCCCAGTCCTCCAGGAAGAGTGTGTGTATTTAAGTTCCAACCCTCCAGCCCTGTCTCTGAATTTCACGTTTCGCGTGGCTCCTGGCACACTGGCATATTAACACGTGCATGCCTTTCTCCTATCTGTCTGCTGTCACTCTGTTTTGGCAGGTGCAATCCCTAAATCTTCAGAGGGCAGGCTGAGCTTCCTTGCAGGCAGTGATGTGACACTCTCTTGGCTGTTACTTGACTTTGTGTGGCATGTTTCCTGCTGCATTCCTGAGCAGGTCTCTTCTGCCACAAGCTGTGGCTATGGTATACTGGGCTGCCACAGGCCCAGAGCAACAGGGCTAAAAGACCATGGAGAAAAAGCTCTGAAAACAAAATGAAACTTTTTCTTTATAAAGTTGATTATCTCAGGTATTTTGTCATAGTGACATAAAGCTGACTAACTATCTCCTATGGTTTTGTAATTTTGTCTATTACAAAACCATAGGAGATAAAAATAGGATCATGGGCATTGAAATGTATTTTTAATTAACAACTGACAAGTGTTTAATCCACAGAACACTGTAGAAAATGTAAGTGCTCTTCACAACGTGACTTATCATGGGGCTTATTGAAAACTTTTTTCCATGGCGTGCTCCAGGGTTACAGGTAACTGGCTGGCAGCAGCTTCCTTTAGTCCTACTTGGAAGACTTTTGAAGATTCTAGGTCCAACTTCGTCTGGAGAGAGAGCCACCAGGAAAGCCCTCTGGGCATGGTCATCCCAGGGCACCGGGGCCTCAGGACCTGGGAGCTGCATCCACACACAGGCCAGGTAGCCAGCTCTATAGGAGGTGGCTCAGGGGCCAGTGTCAGTCGGGAGCTGGGCCCAACTCTGGCTCCCTGGCTGCCCTGGCTCAGCCTGTACAAGGTCTCTTTCCTCTCTCCCTCTTTCTCTCTCTCCTCCACCTGCCCTTTGGGTTTCGGTTTCTCTTTCTCTTGGCCTCGCCTCTCTGACTCTCTTCTCCCTCTCTCTCTCTTGCTCCAGATTCTTGAAGCGGGACCTCTACTGTCCCCACTCTGGCCTCCTAATGATGAACTCCGTGTTTGGAAATCTCGGGGCTGGGGAATAGCAGAGGGGAGAATTTCTCCTCTCCAGGCCAGCTCCGTCCCTGTTGGAGGGTCTGGCCCTGCCTGCCCTGCGGCCCTCCTCTGTGTGGCCTCTGGCCTTGGCCATGGGCCTGTCCCTGGTGTGTGGTGCCTTGGTGGGACCTGCACAGCTGGAGCAGGCCAACAGTGCTCTGGCCAGCGTGTCTCTTGCAGGCCTGCCCACGCTCTTGTTTCCTCTCTGGGGAAACACTTTATTTCTTGGTCTTCTGTCCTTCTGCTCTATCCAGTTGCTGTTTCCTCAGACCCTGGGATGTAGGGATATAGGACACCAGGGCCTGTCCACGGCCAGAGCCATGCCGGTGTCACAGTCCAGGGAAACAGCAGGCCTCTAAGTCACAGCGACCCAGCCTGGCTCAGCCACACAAATGTGGTGTTTCAATATTTATTTTTAGTGGCTGCTGGTTCAATAGCAGCTTTCACGTTGGTGGGGGTAATCCTGAAAAGTAAAAATAAATTAGACCTGCACCTTGTCAGTAAATCCGACCAGTCCCTGCTGGGGGAACTCTGGGCCTAGTGCCCCAGATGTCCAGGGTGAGTGGTGAGCCAGAGATCGGAGGGCCCAGGCCAGGAGCCAGGCTGGCCTGTGACCACGGCTCCTCACTGTGGCCTTGCCCTCCCTGGCTTCCTGGCGGGCCTGTGCCAGCTCACTGGCCTCCCGCTGGGCTCGTCCATGGCCAGTAGGCCCAGCAGCCAGGACAGGACACAGCAGGGCTCACACGGGCACTCGCTGACCTCCCTGACCTCAGCCCAGGTCGGCAGGTCCTGGCTGCCCTGAGAGGCACGTGTGACCCCCATCTGCACCGATTGCCTCAGAAGCTGTCAGGATCCGTCTGCCACTGGCTCCAGGTCCTGGGCTACCCTGCTGGCCATCCTTCTGCTTGATCTGACCTACGCTGGCCCTGGAATGAGGAGCAGCTCACGCTGGGGGACATGGCGCTCTGCATTCATCCTTTAGTGCTGACCGGAGAGTGGGGTACGGGGATCCTCGCCCCACAGCAGATCGGGACGCTGGCCTTGGTGCGTCCTGGGGGCTCTGCCACAAAGTCCCCAAATGAGACCTCTCCTGTCCAGCTTGTCACTGGGCCTGGCATCCCCCTGGAGAAAGGACTTTCTTGGATCAAGGTTGTGCATCTCAGAGGAAGCTGGAGGTGCGGGCCCGCCCCCGGAGGAGGGCTGCCCTGAGGACAGACCACCTCATGCCTACAGGGCTCTGCCTCCTGCTACATGGACACTGCCATAGTGACAACTGGTCCTGGAGACAGAGGCTTCCCTCCCTTTTCAGCTGTGAAAACCGGCTGAGGGGGCTGGGGCTGGGGCTCAGCCGGAGAGCGCCTGCCTTGCACATGTGAGGCCCTGGGTTC